AATTCAAAACTGCCTCTGCAGTCAGGCAGGGGAGGCGTGGAAATTGTCTTTGAGTTAGTCAAACGTTTTCCTTAGTTCGAGTAGATGATAAAAAAAATAAATAAAAATAAATGGGATTTTAAGTAGGACTAGGCGTTCTGTAATGATCTCTATTTAGGAGAAAAACTTAATCACTCACCTTTAAACAGCTCTCTTTTAGGAGACACACTGCTGGCTAACGGTGTCATGTGATCAAACAGCGTAATTTAATTGGCTGAGAGCCACTCGACTCGATCTGGTGCTGATTGCTCTGGCTTGGGTCATTAAAGTTCATCACTTTTGCAGTTGAATTTTTGCAGGTGAATTTTTTTCAGGTGAATTTTTGCAGGTGAATTTTTGGCAGGTGAATTTTTTTCAGGTGAATTTTTGCAGGTGAATTTTTTGCAGGTGAATTTTTGCAGGTGAATATTTTTGCAGGGAAATTTGGAGGATAAAAATTCAGTGTCATAAATTCAGTGTCTAAAAATACTTGAATTCTGATGATACTATATTTCTTCCATATTAATGCATCATTTTTCTTAACATAATTGGTGATATTGGTTACAAGCAAGTCTGGCGCTGAACAGAAATTGTCGCGCTATGCTCCTTTGTTTATTGTGCATAAATAGTGAATTGTCCTGACACAATATTGCGTTTCGCTTCTGTTATTATGGTACACTGACAAAAACATATACTTTTATTCACAGGGTAAAACAGTTGTTTTGTATCACTAATTGCCCAGTGCGATTACAGCATACAATATTATTGTCACTGCTACATTTCTGTGATGCTACCAGAAATTATTTCCACTGCTAATTAATTACCATTGAGCTCAAAGGGCCTATTAATAAACGGTTAACGAATGTGTATTTATGACGACGATTTGTGAGACTGGTAAATTTATGATACGTACGATGGTCTTTACTTTCTACACGATGCATTTCAAGGTCCTGTACCCATCCGTCGGTAAACTGTACCTGGGCTTGTTGCAGTGACCGGAAGTTACTAAACTTCATGAGTGTATGCACTCACTCCAAGAACCGTATAATCCAAGATGGCGCCGCGTATGGATGCCCTGGTGCTTCAGTGCGTTACTTCTGTCTTGTTTTTGTGCATAACTTCTGTGTCTGGGCACTCTCTGGATATTCTTACACCAGAGAAGAGCTTCTTAACCACAGGACTACAACACCTGTGGATTTACTTCCAATATTTGTCGCATCCGCGGCAGATTTACTGCAGACTCTGATCAGGAAAGTGAGACGCCGAAAGAGAGGTAAGCGAGCCGGCGCACTCGTGCGTCTGAGGAGACGTGGACTGCGAACTGCTCTTCCTGGGATCTTCCTTTCCAATGTACGATCACTCAGGAATAAGACAGACGAACTGGCCCTGATGAGAAGCATGAACAGAGACTTTGCCTCCTCCTGTGTGTTATGTTTTACGGAGACGTGGCTCTGTGAGGACATCCCGGACAGCGCGCTCAAGCTGGAGGGCTTTCATCTGCTGCGCGCTGACCGGCAGGCCTCTCTCTCTGGTAAGACCAAAGGTGGAGGTGTCTGCTTCTACATTAATAGTGGCTGGTGCACAGATGTAACAGTGATTGCTCAGCACTGCTCTTCCTCTCTGGAATACCTTTTCATCCACTGCAAACCGTTTTATTCTCCGCGGGAGTTTGCTTCATTCATCCTGGCCGCTGTTTACATCCCGCCAGATGTGGATGCGCAGGCAGCTCAGTGCACACTCACGGAGCAGATACTGCACATGGAGCGGACATTCCCGGACTCTCTCATCATTGCTCTTGGGGACTTTAACAAAGCCAATCTGAGCCATGAGCTTCCCAAATACAAGCAGTATATTAAATGCCCGACCAGAGAGGAGAGGACATTAGACCACTGTTACAGCACGATCAGCGGGGCCTATCGTGCGGTGCCCCGCGCTTCACTCGGACTTTCTGACCACGTCATGATCCACCTAATCCCCGCGTACAGACAGAGGCTGAAGCTCTCCAAACCTGTCGTGAGGACCAAAAAACTGTGGAGCAACGAGGCTGTGGAGGAGCTTCGCACGTGTTTGGAGTCTACAGACTGGGACACAATGAAGGCTGCTTCTAACAGCTTGGACGAGTTTACGGACACTGTCACCTCCTATATCCACTTCTGTGAGGACAGCATTGTGCCATCACGCACCAGGGTGAGTTATAACAATGACAAACCCTGGTTTACTCCTAAACTCAAAAAGCTGTGGCTGGAAAAGAGAAAGGCGTTCAGAAGCGGAGACAGGGACTGCTACAGAGAGGCCAAGTACAGGTTCACTAAAGAAGTGGACATTGCTAAACATCAGCACTCTGAGAAGATGCAGCAGCAGATCTCAGAGAATGACTCGGCCTCTGTGTGGAAAGGTTTTAGGAATATCACCAACTACAAGCCTAAAACCCCCCACTCCACTGACGACTTGCTCTTGGCCAACACCCTTACGACTTCTACTGCCGTTTTGACGAGCCATCAGGCAGCCTTCACACCTCCAACGGCCCCAACAATAGAGGCACTTTGGACACTCATTCCCCCACCTCTCCCCCCTCCATAGAGCCATCACCACCTTCAAACACTTCACCTACAACACCCCCCTCCTCACCCCACACAAAAGAGGATTTCACACCACCTCCTCCCACCACAACTCTTCATATTCATGAAGCAGATGTGAGGAAGCAGTTTAAGAGTCTGAATGCTCGAAAAGCTCCCGGCCCAGACGGTGTGTCTCCTGCCACCCTCAGACACTGTGCAAACGAGCTGGCCCCAGTGTTTTCTGGCATTTTCAACTTCTCACTGCAGGCATGTCATGTGCCTGCCTGCTTCAAGTCCTCCACCATAATCCCTGTCCCCAAGAAACCTAGGATCACTGGACTAACTGACTACAGACCCGTGGCTCTGACATCTGTGGTCATGAAGTCATTTGAGCGCCTAGTTCTCTCCCATCTCAAGACCCTCACGGCCCCCCTCCTGGACCCCCTGCAGTTTGCATATAGAGCCAACAGGTCTGTAGACGACGCCATCAACATGGCCCTACACTTCATCCTGCAGCATCTGGACTCCCCAGGAACCTACGCCAGGATCCTGTTTGTGGACTTCAGCTCTGCCTTCAACACCATCCTTCCAGACCATCTCCGAGGCAAGCTTTCCCAGATGAATGTGCCTGATCCCATCTGCCGGTGGATCACTGACTTCCTGACGGACAGGAAGCAGCATGTGAGGCTGGGAAAGAATGTCTCGGACTCCCGGACCATCAGCACCGGCTCCCCTCGGGGCTGTGTTCTTTCTCCTCTGCTCTTCTCCCTGTACACCAACTGCTGCACCTCCACCCACCAGTCTGTCAAGCTAATCAAGTTTGCAGATGACACCACCGTTATCGGACTCATCTCGGACGGGGATGAGTCTGCCTGAAGTGGGAGCCCACCATCACTTCCGTCATTAAGAAAGCCCAGCAGAGGATGTACTTCCTGAGGCAGCTGAAGAAATTCAACCTGCCAACACGGACGATGATGCAATTCTACACTGCAATCATCGAGTCCATCCTCACCTCCTCCATCACCGTGTGGTACGCTGGAGCCACTATCAGGGACAAACAGAGACTGCAGCGTGTTGTGCGCTCTGCTGAGAAGGTGATTGGCTGCAGACTCCCATCTCTGCAGGACCTGTGCACCTCCAGGACACTGGGGCGTGCAGCTCGGATCTCAGCTGACCCTTCTCACCCTGGACACAGTCTGTTTGACCTGCTCCCCTCAGGCAGGAGGCTCCGGTCCATTCGCACCAGAACCTCTCGCCATAAGAACAGTTTCTTCCCCTCTGCTGTCGGACACATGAACAATAACCGTATGACTGTTCCCACCACTAACACATGACCCTACGCTGTGTTCACTGCATCATTCCATGTTTGGCACTGATCACCACCTGCACTCATGTATATATCATGTATATATCTATCCACTTAGCACTTTTAATTCTTATTCTTATTTTTATATTTTTATGACAGTATGTTTGCACTGAAGCACCGCAGCAATTTCCTAATGTTGTAAACCTGCTCAACATTTGGCAATAAAACCCTTTCTGATTCTGATTCTGATTCTGAATTATAAATATGCATATAAATATGCTACGATGAGATAGCTGACTTCATCTAACTAGCAAATGTTTTCCAGGCTACGTTGGTGATGCAGTTTTTTTTTTAAATGATATTTTTAAAAAAATATCATTTATTTATGTATGATATTTTTGTCATGCGATTTTAAAGCCAGTCCTACAACCGCATCCAAGAATAACATGCAGCTTATCTCAGAACTGTCGGTGAAAATTATTCTTGGAGCTAGGTTTAATTGAGCTGCATTTTAAAGAGGTGCAATTTCACAATTTGTGTATATTTTCTAAGTTCACTATTTTGTCATGTGTTGAGAAAAACACAGATTTAAAAATTAAATGGTCTAATATTTACATTTGGCATATAACTGCAAGATTATTTTTTTCGTTTTTTTTTTTTTAAAGACTCGAAATTCAAAATTTCAGACTTGTGACTTTACTTGGACTTTTACTTGAGACTTGCATATATATATATATATATATATATATATATATATATATATATATATATATATATATATATGTGTACAAGTTATATCACATGTACAAGTTATCTTTTCCTTTAACTGCATCCTGTGACAGCAGCACCCAGAGAGCTTCTCTCTGTAAATGTTCTACTTCACAGTCGTCTGTGTCAGATACATGCAGACTTCTGTCATGCTCTGTACTGTTAGTGACCCCTTTGCAGATAATACTCACACCTGTTTATTTCAGGTTTCCATGACAATGTTGATACAAATTGTTTAAGTGGTTGTGTTATTAGTTTGTGGATAATCTCATACAGGAAACGAAAATCAAACAAAATGTTTCAATGTAAAAAGATTTTATTTCTACCTTATTAATGATCAGAAACACAAAAATATACATGAAATACATTCAAATATATTCACTGCCTATGATATAATTCTTATTTATATAATGTACGAGATCTTTGGACAAACACAGTTAAAGTATTTGTTGTTGCCCATATCAGTATTTACTTGTGAAACACTGCAAACACTGACTTTAAGTTGTGCTGTCAGATACTAAAGATCACATATTTCACACTTTGTTCTCACTGCTGTTGGAACATGTTAGATACATTCAAGGTTTATTACAAAATCTTTATGAAAAAACTGAATATAAAGAGCATGAATATTAATACCTAATACACCTGCATTTGTTTGATACTAAAAGAGAGCAATATGTCTATATTATATTATGATTGAATATTGTAACTGTACATAAAGCTGAGCATGTCTGATATTTGGGCAGCAGAGGAGCAAGAGTGGCTTCATAAAAAGCTTCTTCTTGGCTTTGCTGCTACAGCTCTCCTCACTGACCTGTAAGACAAGCACAAAAAGACAAAATGATTTCCAACATGTAAAGATATTATGAGCTGAAGACATTTAATAATGTGAAGAATAAATCAGCCTGCATGGCAGCAGAATTACTGAGAGAGCTTCCTGATGTGACTTCAGAATAAACTGCTGCATCAGCTGCAGGACTTGATTTTCCTGTGAATGAAGAGAAGATCATTGAGAACAATAATATCATTACCCAGGAGGATACTTGATGTCTCCACTAGTGCAAAGATAAAAAGTATGATCGATTTTATTAACCATGTAATTAGTACTTACGCATACATAAATATAAACTGTAAAATAAACAGATTTACATTTTAAGAGCAGATAAACATGTTGAACAATATTCAGTGGAGATGATGGCAGACTTTGCTCACCTTTGATTTTCTTGGGGTTATGGAAAAATTCTAGCTTATCCTCACATTTGGATTTATGTGTTTAGAATCTCACTGTAGGATTTGGTATAACCTTTTTGTATGCTTAGATAAAGTGTGTGTGTGTGTGTGTGTGTGTGTGTGTGTGTGTGTGTGTGTGTGTGTGTGTGTGTGTGTGTGTGTGTCAGTATGACCTCGTAAAAAAACTGCTTAGCTTTGCTTAATGATGTTTCACTATGTTATCTGCTAACTGTCTATAACTGTCAGATGTCTATTCATTTCACTGTGTGTTATACTTGTATAACTATGCATGTGACAAATAAAGAACCTTGAACCTTGAACCTTGAACTGTTAGGGCGTAGAAGGATGAAACTCCCAAGATGACAGGTTCCAGGAGCTTCCTGGGAAAAGACAGTGGGAGTTGCTCTCTGCCCAGCCACAGCCCGTGGGACAGAAACCTGTTATAACTAAAAGATACAGAGAGTTGTGTGTGTGTGTGTGTGTGTGTGTGTGTGTGTGGGGGGGGGGGGGGGGGGGGGGTATAAAAGAGGAGCTGAGACGTCCCAGGGGCAGAGCTGGGATGACTGTGAACTGTAATGTTTGATGTGTGTGTTGGCTCTCCTGCGCGCAGTAATAAATAGTTTGACCACAGCTCTTTCCGTGTTGCAGACTTTATTTACAAAATTCCACAACAAGCTTGGCATCATGAACAGGATGCTCCGAGTGTGGGCGCTGAGGAACGACCCCAAAGACGGCTGATCACGCCGAGGGAAAGAGTCAATCCTCGGTCCCACCAAAGCTTCAAAAAGGGGGAGCTGTGGGGCGAGTCCTCAGCGACACACCGAGATCATCCAAAAGAATCTGCACCGGTGAGCTGTGTCCAGCCTATAGTATTTTGTGTATATATATATAAGTCACTTAAGTTCTCTGTTTGGTCAGGCCCAAGGATGGGTGAGACGGGGTGCTCCTCCGTGATATTTCACGGGGAAGTTCTAGGCCTAGCTTCGCTAAGGACGCTTAAGCCAGTAACATGGGATCCGGATCCTCCGAGACAGTCGGCACAGCTGAGTTAAGGGCCGGGGCGTGGACTGTGACACACGCTCCACCGGGTGGCCAAGGAAAGAACTCAATCTTTGACTCGATGATAAATAAAATGTAGAAGGCATGAAGTAAGTTGTGAGAAAGAAAAAGGAATGTTGAAAAAGAAAGGGGCTAAATTGGCTGGTGTGCTAAGGATGAATGATGAAAAGAGTTGTGTTATGGAGGAAGCAGAGAGACACGAGAGAAAAGCAGCTTTTAAGGAGATGCCTTTTTGGGGAGAAAAAGGAAATGGATAGGAGACAGGCCCTGTTAAGTCTGCAGCTCCACTACACACACATACAAGCCATGATTCACTACCTTGTTTTTTTTTATGTCATTTTGCAGAAGCAGCAATGATAGCCACTCCGATCTGGAGTCCCGTCCTCCCCGGCAACCAAAACCACCGCGGCAAGAATAACAGCTCCAGAACTGAGCGTGGTCCCTCCAAAAACAAGCCCAACTGCTGTTGTGTAACCACCAAAGACCCCCACCTCAACCTCACCCCAAGGAGGAGAACACATATGCCATGAAAATGCTGAACAACCGTCTCTGGCCAGCTTTATACGCCTGCAAACAGCGCAGAGGTGAACCAGCTGATGCCAATAGATTTTACAGCCAGAGAGGGGAGGCGCAAAGAAAACAAAAAAAAGGGAAAACAAAGTGCTGACCCCCACCACGTGCTGAGAGGAAGCACAGGCCAACGAGAGAGGAGGGGAAGAGGCAGAGGACGGCGAGGTGGGGTCAGGGCCAGGGTGTGGGTGCCTGAAGGTGGCCGAGGAAAGTGCTACAGCTGTGGAAAGGAGGGACATTTTAGGAGAGACTGTCCTCATCACAAACCCCTAGCCAAAGGACTGAAGGTGGAAGGGAGGAAGGGACTCTGGATTGAGCTGTAGGCTGTGGTTTGCCCACGTCACCATTAAAAAACAGCAAGGTGAAACAATGCGCACACACAAATAAGCAGAGAGTGTATTAACCTACAAATGCAGTTTTGAAAAAAAAGGTGAGAAAGGAGGAGAGAGAGAGAAAGCTGACACAGAACCCGTGTCAGCGCCCCTCCCGCCTCTGTATAACACAGCACACAACACATCATTTTCCTGTTCACGCACCTCTACCCTTTTTTTCTGTGCTCATGCCCCATCACAGAAAGCCGAAGCTGACCTCGACTCCTGCTCTCCCCTCGACCCCCTTTGACGTGACCCTGACCCACCGCTGCAGCAGCTGGACCCACCACAACAACCCGAAAACCCCAACAGAGCTGCAGGAGGGGCACCTCACCCACTCCCGTGTAGTGAGGCCTCCTCTCACTACACGGGAGGAGATCCCCAGACAGGCCTCAGCTGAAAGAGCTGTGACGTCAAGCCCAAAAGAGAGGCAGAGCATCAGAATGCTGACCTCTGCAACGCTGCATTAACACTATACAAGGCCGTGGCAAACCAGCACGGGGTGGCGTGGCAGGAGCAGAAGGAGCAATCGAGGTCAAAAGCCACTGCAGAAGAGACAAAACGCAGATCAAGATGCATGTTTCACCTGCAGCCAGAATGGACACTGGAGAAAGGACTGCCCCAATCTGGGTCAGAACCAGGGTGGACGGTGCAGTGACCAGCAGCAGCAGTGGTCGTAAGCAAACTGAAAGGAGGAGGGCAGGACCCCAGGGGGCGCTTCAGGCCGTGGTTTGCCCAAGACATCAGAACAGGGAAGTGATGCAAAAACACGAACACACACACACACACTGACTCAGGATGAAGTGATGCGCACACACACACACACATGCTGATGCAATGAAGAATGCTTTGCTAACAAGTACTCATGCTGATACGCAAAATGCTCCACACACACACATTGAATGCATTTCATGCAATCCAAAGGGCACATATGTACATTTAAGCTTATAAATCTCTGCCTATGCATGGAATGTCTGTGTGTGGTGAGAAGGTGGAATTTCTTGTAGACTCCGGAGCCACTCTGTGTTATGTTCTCACCCTCCCTGAAATTCCAGCCAACGTTAGAAGGTACTCCCACTCTGTCTCTGCAACAGGGCATGTTCAAAGGGAAAATTTCACCATTCCCCTGTCCTGTATTGACGGACAGGGCCAAAAGTTAAAACAGTTTTCCATGGTCAGACTCATGTCCAGTAAATTTACTTAATGTGTAAATTAAACATAAATTTGATCTCCTGCCATGATGGCATTACAATCACACAGTCAGAATGTGACTATGCAATGGTTAAATACAGCCCTGTGACCCCTGCCTTCGTGTATGCATGGAAGCTGGGGGCAGGGCCACTCACTGAAAGTTTTTTTTTGTTTGTTTGTTTGTTGTTTTTGTTTTTGCTTTTTTATAAACAGCACGTGACTGCATGCCTCCAGATGCCTGTTTTGGCTGCTGACAGCCTGCACTGCACTTCTCACTGTGCTTCGCAGGGCCCTGATGTGAGAGATGAGAAGGAGTGGTACAGAGTTGAAAATGATAAACTAACTGTGAAATATTTATTTTGAAGCTTTACATTTGCTGTGCTTGTGATTTCACTCACTGAAGAACAAAAGGTTGTTTACAATGGATGCATTCACCCCACACATTTCCCCTGCTAGGTCCACTGACTACAGGTGGGAAGACCTGGGCAGATCTGTACACAATTGTAACAGATCTTGCGATTGGCAGGTCAGGGAGGACCCAAAAGTGTTGTTCTCCCTAAAAATTGAATGCTTATAAAACAGTTATGTCTATTGTTATACTGTTCACTATGTTCACTCAGTTGAACTGGTGGATCCCACTGTTGATCCTTATTTAGTGCAGGCCACCCCGTGCAGACTCCTCTTATCCACTGCTCACAGAGGTGCCCGATGGCCTGTCAAGTCTAAATATGATGTGGGACTGATTAAAGATTGCAGACCAGCTATTATCATCTTGTCCTGTCAACTTAGTGGGATGAGAATTGATATGTAAATTAGTTGATTGTTATTAGATCAGGGAAAGATCATTTGATTGTAACACAAGTGAGTAGAATGTTGCAAAGGGTTAAATGTGTTTCCTGTTTCTGATGTATGTGAAGCTTGCACCTAGACATAAACACACACCTGAACTTGCTTTGTCAAGTCAAATACGTGACAGCATCTCACATATTTTTATTTTACAAGCTAAGTACAATGATTGGGTGTGTGACTAAACTGAGTGCAACAGTACAAACCTGGGGAAGAAACTCACATTCCAGTGATGAAACATTACAATGAGGTGTTTAGTAAGCATCTGACACTAAACATTAGTGTTTTGTGAACTGTGCAGCTGCTAACAAAAAAAAAATCCTCTCTGTATTTAGCAGGTGGAACCCAGACTCTCCAGAACTGCTGGATATCTCGGAGCACTTGTGGGCAACCAGTGAATATGATGTGGGGGAAATGAATGGGGGTAGTGACTCTTAAGTCTGAGACAGAGTGATATTATACCCCTTATGTCAAACCGAGTGATTTATGGTCCCAATAAATTATCCGTGAGCTCAGGGGTAATAAAGGAAGTAATAAAAATATGATATTCATAAAAATATTATATAAATAAAATTATGATATTAACAGAGGTGGGTCGAGTATCCAAAAATTGTACTCAAGTAAGAGTAGCATTACTTTAAAATATTATTACTCAAGTAAAAGTGAAAAGTAGTCTTCAAAAATGTTACTCAAGTAAGAGTAAAAAAGTACTTGGTGAAAA